AGGAGATGTTGTTTTTAGTTCATAACAATTGAGAAAGAGAGTATGAGTATCGATTTTAAGTGCATTAAAAGCTTCAAACCTTGGTTGTACAAGGTTGTTGGGTTGTACAAGGTTGTTGGGAGTATTCATGGCAATGGCAATGTTGTAAATACTTGAAGATGATGAGGTTGAGAGAGTAAAAAGGTCATTTTCGAAAAAAAAGTAAAAGAAAAATTTAATGGCATTTTCGTAAATAAAACGAAGATGTGGGGTGGATAGGACAAAAACAAGATGAGTTAAAAGAATAAGTTAGTTTTGTGTTTGACCATGAGTTTTGAGTCAAATTTGCAAAAACCCCTTATAAATAATTAGAAAATGAATTAAACCCATTAATGAAACCCATTATTATATATTTTTTAGGCCCAAAACCAAAAAAAACTATATTACCATTAATGAAAATAAAAATTTGTTTATATCATTAAGGGTAATTTTAGAAAACGTAAAAAACTTATTAAAGAAAATGATCCTCTTTTAATGGTATTGATTCCTTCAGTGAAGAGTTTAGATTTGGTAATTGTTGGACCTACAATATTTTGTTTTCTTATTTTGGGTGACTATTGTTTGTTCTTTATGCAAGATGAATAAGTTTTGAATATGTGCGTAGTGTTAATATGTACATAGTTTATATGGCCCCCAAACCATACCAAAATATATGCATGGACCATAAATTTTGTATTTTGAATGAATATATATGCATGGATCATCATATTTCCAAATCACACCTTGTCAAGGGTTTCTCATGTATATAAACATAACCAAAGTGCATAGAAGCCTGGAAGATAAGTTATGTTTGTGGAGGCTAATGAGCCAGGGATATTGGCAAGTAATCTCTGAAATCTCCCCAGATTTTATCTTGACCGGTGGTTTTGACTATTTACCCCTGACGATAAACCTTTTAGATGCGAGAACAGCCTACTTTTGGAGCATGAAACGAGAACGCCTGGTATATTTTAACTTAAACAACGGCGAGTATGTGATCCACAAAATGATGAAAGATGGAAGTAACGGTCAGATTACATACACGCATTCTCCCGTTAAGGACCCGAGAGCTAGGATTTATCTCAAAATCTCGAGATATATGGGTGTCATCCTCGAACAAGCATACCTTCTCCCGTTCTTTCTCCCACAATGGCTGTATTGGATCCGGAAGAACACGGTGCGTATTAAACAACCAACAACAACAAAAAAGAGGGAAAGAGACTTCAGACTTCTCTGTTTGCAGCCCTTGATGATTGCCTGAGTGATTCGTGATTATGAACTATGTCTGTTTGTTGATGTTTGATTCTTGCTCCACTAGAGTTAACCCTTTCGGAGATAATGATTCTCAGTTTTTTATACAACATGTTTTAATAACAATCTTTCAAAAACGAACTGTACGGGTGATTCTTGGTGGTTGTGCTTTCTTCTGACATATGATGAAGCACAAAGGCAAATTTGACTGTTAGAGCTTCCGCTGGTCGGACTCCAAGGTTCTTTGCCAGCTTGGCGAGTCTGTTTCCGACTTCTTGAGGTCTAAATACTGATTATGGGTTTCGTGTGTGTGTGTGTGTGTGTGTGTGTGTATGTGTGTGTGTGTGTTTTTCTCAACTGTTGCTGCTTCAGTCAAAAGGAAAGAAACGTAATTTTTACAAATCATGTCTTTTAATTTTTGGGTTAAATACACTTGTATCTATTATATAAAGCTAAGCTTCCCTCCCTCTAAGGCTGTCCACGTCGGATGACAGGTCACAAAGTCCACGTGTCCAGTCCCTCCTCTCTTCCGTGTATCGTCTTTGTCTTTTGCATTTTTTTGGGATTCAAGTCATATTCGGCTCAAAGTTGCTGCCTCTCCCTAACCCTAATGCTCTGTGGCGTTGAACGAAAGACGTCTCTCCTCATCTTGCGGCGGTGACTCTTGCAATTCTTCCCATCGTCTGAAACGATCGCGTAAAGGCTCCGTGATTATCCTCCACTACAGTGATAGTAATGCTCTGTTCTGTGAATACGTATAAATATGTATTAGACTTCTAAGACTATCCACGTCGAGGCTAGGCTCCTCCGGTTTTGGGAGTCCACATGGTGGTGAGCTGATGTGTCTCGAGATGCTCATGATAGATATGAATGTAAGCTTCTGCTGTTCACGTCAGATTTCTCCAATTCTGGGAAGCCAAGAATTTCAGACCCGGTGGGGAACTCATGTGGGTTGATATGTTGATGGTTGATGTATTGTTATGTCTCTGTTATTCAAATACTCTAAAACGTGTAGGTATTACAGGCGACTTTCTAATTCATTCTGATTTGCTTTTGTTTTTGATTTTATATATGTAGATTATTTGCAGATGAAACAACCCTATCGAAAACCCACATGATCAGATGTATGATGTATGTGGTTATGTACGAAGCGAAGAGCTTAAATGCAGAAAGAATCAGGTCGCCATGAACCCCATTAACACTGTCTTCCGTATGTTATCATATCTCTACTTGAATGCTAAAGTTGTGATTTTAAGGGTTTTTTAGGAAGATTTTAGTTGATTGTGATTTCTAGGGTTCATAGGACGATCTCTGCTACACCATATGTTACGGGTTTTTGTTGGAAGATCTTAGTTTAATACGAAAGTTTTGATCTTAATGATTTCGTACTTAATTGTGATTTTGATTTACCTTTGTATGTTTGAATAAACTCTTTTTTGACTGTGACAGGTGCAAAGAGATTGATTGGTCGGAGTTTCTGTGATGCGAGCGACATGAAGCTATGGCCTTTCAAGATCATCCCTGGTCCTACCACAAACCCATGATTGTCGTCTCCTACAAAGGAGAAGAGAAATTTTGCTGTCGAGGAGATCTCTTCCATGGTTCTCATCAAAATGTGTGAGATCGCTGAAGCTTCCCTTGGTGTCGCTATCAAGAACGTTGTGGTCACTGTTCCAGCTTACTTCAGTGACTCTCAGCGTCAAGCTACAAAGGATGCTGGTGTGAGATATTGATAATTTTAATTTTAGTTTGTTCCATTAAAGAAGTTATTTAGCTGACAATTTTATGAACATTATAAAAATATTGCAGTATCCGGAAACAAGAGCCTGTTTTTCTTTGGTGGCTCTAACTTCGTTCCTGACATCCCTTCACTTCAGCGTTGGTTAGATTTAGCTTGGAAGAATGGGTTTGATGTCTCTGGAGCACATTTCGATAACAAAGTCTACGGTTGTAAGAAATGGATTGGGACTTCTGAATGTGCTGCGTTGTTACGGTCTTTTGGGTTGAGAGCTAGAGTTGTTGATTTTGCTCCTAAGGATTCTCGGTCAGTGTATCTTTCGGTTCCTGGTTCTGTTGTTGCTCCTAAGAGAAGGGCGTATGGTCCTATGGGTAGGTACGTAATTAAAAATGGTGAAAGTGGGAAGGAGAAAAGTGGTTCTAGCTCTTCTAGGATTAGTAAAGGAGCGGTTTTGATGGATTGGGTCTGGAATTACTTCTCGGATAACAGGTTGAATGTTCCTCTGGTGTTTATATCACAAACAAAGGGTACGTGGTTGTGTTTCTGCTCTCTTTGATCTTGGCCATGTCTTCCTTTGTCGTTGTAATCCTGTGTATCGTAGGCCTTTGTATTTCCAACATGAAGGGCACTCGAGAACAATCATTGGGATTCAGAGACAGTTGCAAGGAAATACATTTACACCTCAGTATAATCTCCTGGTTCTGGACCCAGCTGATGTGAGTATACTATTGTTGTTTTTTAATGAATATGAACATCAGCTTTTTACTTAATGTTAAATTTGATTAATGATGGTGAGACTTGAATGTGAGAATGCAGTTTACTAGAGGTATAGAGAAAGCGCTTGTAGATAAGAGAGGGTGGTAGGGATATCTTAAAAGAGGAGCTCACACACTGACGTGTCCTGAGTATCAGGTCTCAGCTTCAAACTCTAATCGGTTTGATATTTGGTATTTCAGTAATCATAGTTTAGTGATATCTAAATTGTTCCGAGTATATGATAAAAGAAAGATTATGATGATATAAATACATGCATACAGATATTGTACGTTGATAATGGAATTGCTGTTGGTGAGGAGTTGGAGCAGCTCAAGACCATTGATGGTCACTTTGTTGAATTCTAATGGCTTCCACAAACACGGAAGAATGATTATGAGAGGAATCTTAAGTTAGTTGCAATTTGTACTTTTGTAGCATACTTAACATTAGTTGCAACTGTATACTTATGTACCATATATACGTTCTTTTGCTTATACAATGTGTCAAGAGAAAGCCATTTTAAACATTTTTAAATAGTGTGGATTCTTGGATCTTATTATAAACCAACTTGGATTTTTGTGAGAAACATCAAGGATTTAAAAGATGTGCCTATTTATTAGAAAAAAAAACTGAGAAATTACTGAATGACCTTGACAAATTAATTGGAATGGAACAATTTCGTGGAGAAACTAAATATTAAAATATTTTTCTGAGAGTATCAAATGAAAACACAATCAGACAATGCATAGCATATAGTTCTCACGTTTTATCAGTTTCATGCTGACGAAAAAATACATACATTTTTAAAAAGTGAATCTCACAGAATCTTTTTTATTTGTGTGTAAATTATGAAAAATATCACTAGTAAGTAACATATAATAATCAGTATAAATATTTTTCAAAAATTGGCGTGGAAATAAATATAACAAAATCTAACAAATAAAACCATATATATTTGATAATAGTACATAAAATAAGCAAAATACTTAAAGACATATTATAAAAACATAATATCAATAATATATATGAAAATTACAAGAGCAAAAGTAGAAATTTTTAAAAGTATTATTTTACACATTTTATCAAACATAAGCTAACGAGAAAAGTGAATGTCGCAGCACTTTTCTCCTTTTTGATCACTAAACAAAATATAACGAAAATAATAAATATTTAATACAATTGTTATAAAAATATTAGGGAAATAAAAAAACTTTGTAATATGACAATAAACTCAAATAATAGGTAGACTCCCTAGACATACCATACTACACTACTTACACAACGAAAATAAAAATTAATTGAAACGTTTAAATATTTAGGTGTACACAAATATCAATTTAATTCTTCTAATGGCACAATTCCAACCTAACAATTCAATTCTTATAAATTATTCAATAGAGAATGACATAACAATTCAATCATGATGATGCTAGAAAATCAAAAGTTCATAACAAAAAATACTTACAAACAAACTAACCAATAACTTAAATTAATAAAATAGTATATTTCATACACATCTTTTGTAAATGTAAATTTAAAACACAAACGACAAAATCATATAAAAATAATAACCTAGATCATAAATAAAGTATATCCCGCCCATAGGGCGGACCGGTCCTAGTAGTATATAAATTGGTGCCCATACAAAACAATTTAACTAGTATTTGTATGTTGTGTCTTCAAATGGTTTCTAGAAATGGACATATATAGATTCTTCTATCATTTTGAAGATTCAAATGAGCGACTGAAGTCACTGAGAGCACAATAAAGATAGTTCTTTGCTTCATTGCTAGCTATTTAATTAGATAAACCAGTTAACGATACGGCGGGTCAATATTTTTGAGACGACTATATATAAGAGGTTTCATTAAAAACTTCAATAATTTTAGGAGTCTAGGTATGCCTATATAAAAATCCTAAGAATTTAAAACCATGTTTGTTTAAATTTAATATGAAATTAAACATATCTATACTATTACAACAAAAGATTTTTTAGGCTCCTTTGTCTATACTATTACAATAAAAGACTTTTGTAGGCTCTCTTAGTTTTTAAAGCATTTACATCAATGTCATTACTTTTAAATTTTTAAATAAATTCTAATTAATTATTGAAACTAAGCAACATAATATTCTATAACCTATAAATTTTAAATCAATTCCTAGAGTTTAAATGTGGATCCAAATATATTGAATATAAGAAAATATAAAGACTTTCATCATGAATATAAAACAAAATGGGTTGAACAAATAGATTTTCATTTCTACCATGAACTAACAAAATTTAGTTGACATTAATAAAAACATCTCCTAAACCTCTTAATATGTAATTAAATATATTAATATTAATGAAAATCCTCTAAATCTCTTCCATAATAGAGAAGCCATCGAAAACATAAAGATTTTATGTTAAATTTTAACATATTAATATGAAATATATCAAGGAAGTTTCTATAAATAAAATGATGGTCAAAGCTGCAAATTGCATCTGGAACTGAGAAAATAGGGAGATAGAAGCCTTGACAGAAAATCTATGGACGATGGTATTTGTGAGATTACCGATTAATATATAATTTAGTAAATATCATCCAAATATATTGAATATAAGAATATATAAGACTTTCATCATGAATGTTTAAAAAAATGAACAATTGTTTGTTTGTAATTATTTAAAATATATATAATTTATATTATTAATTTATGATTTAATGGGACCATATATTTAGATTTTAGAAAAAAATATTATCTTATTATTTTATCGATTTATGTTATAAGTTGAACCGACTCAACTTAAAACCAGAGAAATTTATTAATTTACTGTGTTTATTAATTTATAAATTTTCTAATGTACTACCAAAATATTTTTAGTTTCTAAGCATTAGCCACATAACATTAATAACATATTAATATTTAACACCAACATTAAAACTAAAATAAATTGTTCCCTCCATAAATTTATAGATGGTTTATATTAAAACCGTCACACAATATATTTGAAAAACTAATATTGATGTTAGATTTACAATTAATAAGTTGAGATTTTACAATTAAAAATTTCTGGGTTAATCCACTAAATATGTAAATATTTATACAAATGGGTTGAACAAATAGATTTTTCATTTCTACTATGAACTAATAAAATTTAGTTGATATTAACAAAAACATCTCCTAAATCTCTCAATATGTAATTAAATATATTAATATTAATAAAATATCCCCTAATTCTCTTCCATAATAGAGTAGCCATCGAAAACATAAAGATTTTATGTTATATTTTTTAAAATATTACCGTAGTCAAAAAAAAGTTTTTTAAAATATTAATATGCAATATATCAAAAAACTTCCCATAAATAAGATGATGGTCAAAACGGCAAAATGCATATGGAACAGAGAAAAGAGGGAGATGGAAGCCTTGATAGAGGATCTATGGACAATGGTATTTGTTAGATTACCGATTAAGATATAATTTAGTAAATATCATCTAAATATATTGAACATAAGAATACATAAAGAATTTCATCATGAATATAAAATAAATAAACAATTTTTTTCTTGTAATTATATAAAATATTTATACTTCTAAATTATTAAACGTATGATTTTAATGGAACCATATATTTAGATTTTTGAACAAAATATTATCTTATTATTTTACCGATTTTTGTTATATGTTGAATCAGCTCAACTTAAAACTAGATAAATTTATTAATTTACCTTTTATATTAATTTAGAGAATATTAAATTATAAATTTTCTACTGTACTACCAAAATATTTTTAGATTTATATTGATACGTAAGCATTAGCCACCTAACATTAATAACATATTAATATTTAATATCAACATTAAAACTAAAATAAATTGTTCCCTCCATAAATTTATATATGTTTTATATTAAATCGATCACACTTAATATATTTGCAAATCCAATATTTATGTTAGTTTTACAGTTAATAAGTAGACATTTTACAATTACAACTTTTTGGGTTAATCCACAAAATATATAAATATTTTTCAAGTAAAAATGTATTGAACAAATAGATTTGTCATTTCTACTATGAACTAATAAAATTTAGTTGATATTAATAAAAACATCTCCTAAATCTCTTAATATGTAATTAAATATATTAATATTAATAAAAAAGATCCCCTTATTCTCTTCCATAATAGAGTAGCCATCGAAAACATAAAGATTTTATGTTATATTTTTAAAAATATTACCTTAGTCAAGAAAAAATATTTTAAAAATATTAACAGAAATTGGTGGAATTGTCCCTAAATACACCTCATATTTGCCATCTACCCTTCCAAAATAGAAACTATTTCTTCTGACCATTATACCCCTATCTCATTCTCTCTCTCTTCTCTTCTCTATCTTCTAATCTCTTTATCTCTCACACATGACATATTTATGCTTTCATTTTTTCATCATAAATATCTATTTTTTACTCTGATTCTTTTGACACCCATATTGCTAATGTTATTATCTCACACTAATTCTATTATTTCTAATTTCAAATCTTGAAATATACATTCTTTTATTTGGGTAATATGTAAGTTAGCAGTTATTTCATTATTTACCCGTTATTATTATATTTTAATGAATTTGTAACCGATACATAGAGTGTTAGCTGTTACAAATAGGATTACGGCTATTTGATAGATAATTGATTAGCGGTTAATATATGTATTTTTATGATAATAGTATTGTTAACATGCTAACCTGTTTGTTAGCGATTTATTTAACACATTAATAAATAGACGTAACCCGATAACAAAATTTGTAACATGTTAAAATTTTGTCAATTTACTAACAATTTTTATATCATATTAAAATTGATAAATATCTCTTAGTGTTCAGTTAACATAATGTGTATCCGCTAAATCTAGAGTTACATGTTTTCGATAAAGTAAGAGGGCATTTTCGTCCGCACAGTGTCAAAAGATTACTCCTTTTTGGATTATCCATAACCATGGACATTCGGCCAATTTGGATCTTGGTTAGGTACATTACACCAATTGTCTCAAATATTAATATGCAATATATCGAGAAAGTTCCTATAAATAGGATGATGCCCAACAGGCAAAATGCAACTGTAACAGAGAAAAGAGGGAGATGGAAGCTTTGACAGAGGATCTATGGACGATGGTATTTGCGAGATTACCCATTAATATTTTCACTGGTTTGAAACTTGTTTGCAAGCAGTGGAAATCAATTTTAGAGTCTCCATTTTTCTGTGACGTTTTCCTGTCCCTGCGTCAAAACCCGCCCTCTTCTTCATGGTCGCTCATGTCCATCCTTGAAGTAGATCAAAAGATAGTAAGTCACTACCAATGCGACACATGGGGACTTGATCGATCTTTGGGATCTTTCATCGAGTCTTTCCTAACGAAAAAAACAGAAGCACAAAGACCAACGAATCAGTGTCGAGGCTTACTCGGATGTTGGGTTGATTTGGATCCATGTAGAGTCAACCAACACGGAGAAGGGAGTCATCTACGTGGCTAACCCTGTTTCACAGGAATCTGTAGAAATATTAATTCTTGATCCTCTTTTTCCTATAGGGTTTAAAACGAACGAACATTGCTGGCAATGGGGACTTGTCACACGAACCGAGAACGGTAACCTTTTGGGTTACAAGGTTGTCATCTTTTAGCAGTACAAGTGGGGCCATGAGATGTTAAGTTGACTTATATATTCATCTGAGACAGGCTTGTGGAGTCTCGAAACTTTACATACTCCTCCTCTTTCCTATATCGTTATCCTGGGTATCCGATTAGCTTGAACGGTAATCTTCACTGGCCTGGCCGGAGCATGGACTGTCAGAGAGTTCTATTATCCATGGATATTTATAGTACTACTAGCATGGGTTCTGTTCGATGCCGTGTTACGCCTTTCCCTGACTTGGAGAAAAATACCAAATTGACAAGAGCTTGCACACCTTGTCAAGGATTTCTCATGTATATGAACATCGTTTCCATAACCAAAGTGGATGGAAGCATAGACAATAAGTTGTGTGAATGGAGCCTAAAGAGCGAGGGATGGTAACTAATGTCTGAAATCTCCGCAGATTTTATCCTGACCGATGGTTTCGACTATTTACCAGTGACGATAAACCCTTTGATGCGAAAACAACCTACTTTTGGAGCACGAAAAGACAACGCTTGGTACCTATCAACTTACACAACTGTGAGTTTATGACCCACAACAATCAGTTGGATGGTAGAAGCGACGGTCCCATTATGATTCCCGTTAAGGGCCCGAGATTTATGATTTCTCTCAAAAGCAGGAGCAATATGGAATACATCAACATAGCATTCCTTGACCCGTTCATTCTCCCACAATGGTTACATCGGATCCCGGTGAGTATTGAACAGACAACAACAACTGATCGGCAACATGAGTCAAAGGATATTCCCTCCAAAAACATTGTGCACGGAAAAGCAGTGACTGCTATAGGTACTAATGGAGCGTCAGCAATTGAGCTGTCAAATCCATTTGCAGCCCTTGATTGCATGAGTGATTCATGATTATAAAATGTTGCATGATTTTATGTTGAGAACGATATAAGAATGAAACGTTATAACAAATAAATTTTGTCTTCCTCATTCAAACCTATAAATGTTTCTTTCAGTGAGAAGAGTCTAGATTTGGTATTTGTTGGACCTATTTTGTTTTCTTATTTTGGGTTATTGTTTGTTCCTTATGCAAGATGAATAAGTTTTGAATATGTGCTTAGTGTTAATATGTGCTTAGTGTCAAAATTTAATTTTTAAAAGAATAATATTAAGCTTTCGAAATCTAACCCTAATACTACAACATCCCTTATATATTAAAAGAAAAGCATTGTAATAAATGCGTTCATACTGTAACTGACACATGTCGGTTTCACAATCATTTGAAAATTAATGCGTTCATACACTAATTTTTCAAATTTATTATTAATGTGTTTATACACTATTTTTAATTAATTCATTTTCTACATTTTTAGCCTTTGTATTAATAAATTAAATTTTTTTACGTGAATCTAATGAATAATAGCTTTATTGTAAAAAAAATACAAAATCATTAAGATTCTTATTAACTAAAATGTTACGATGAAAATCTTTGTAGAAACTGAAAGTTTCGTACCTTGCCAAATTTGGTCATGGCTGAGTCTTTGGTACACAATAACAACACATAAGGTGATGATTATGAATTAAAGAAACTGAGGTGAAAAACACCACACATCAAGTTGAATCATTAGTTTTTCAAATATTAACATTTATATAAAATTTTCATAGCAGACCAAGAATTAGAAATAAAATCAAATTGGTAGAAAAAAAGAAATCAAAAAAGATTTAAAAAGAAATAAAAATCACAAAATCGATTAAAATAGAATTAAGGAACCAAGTGAAGATGTCACTTTCTAATATATATTATTTTTATTTTTTACGGGTACAATTTGATTTTCTTCATAGGAAAAATGTTATTAATTTCTATGTTTGTTTTATTTTTACTTAATTTTATTTAAGAATTTACTATCTTGTGTTATTTTGAAAAAAATATTTTAAATCTTAATTAATGGTATATTCATATATTTGTCATCACATTTATATACTTTTACATATACATACATGTACACATTGACATGAACGACTATATAATTAAATATTCACCACAAGTGAAAATTTTAATTCTTATTGAAGTTGAATTTTTATTAAAAATGTCTTCTTTCACTAACGCTCAAATTGCAGTGAAATGTTTTGTGTTAATAATTTTATTTTCTTTTTTCTTCAAATATTATTTAGATTTATTCGATTTTACATGTCTTTTAGAATTATAATAGGAAACTATTAGTTCGACATAAAAAAAATGTTTAAAATTCTTGTAAGACGAAACCAAACAAATAACAATAGTTTTTGGTTATCATCAAAAAATTCAAAAACATCAAAAATTTAAACCAAACAAAGCAAAATAAATATAGATTTAGAATGATAGTTATATTTTAGGACATTAAAAAACGACGTAAAATTAAACCAATATCTATGTTAAACAGATAATATCATTTTTATCTTAAAAATAACAAAAGTAATAATCTCATTCCGCGCAAGGCGCGGGTTATTACCTAGTATGTTATTAAACCATAAACCAAAGAATACCATGACTCACTACTTTCACTCATTTATGTTGAAAACAATTAAATTTTATTATTTATTAATTTATATCATTTAGAATTGTTTATAGTTACATGATTTCAATTTTTCTTCTATCAAAATACTTTTTTACAAGATTAAAAATTATTTTTTTAATCAACTATACGAGAAGACTTTTAGGGAAATCTTTTAGACGACTTCCCTCGAAGTCGTCCATACTTGACCGAACTTTTAATTTAATTTTACTATTTACCAGATGACTTTTCTGTTGTAAATACTATTCAGCGTCTAGACCCTAAATATAACCCCTAAACTAAATTAACTAACTAAACCCTTCATAAAATCAAATGAAATTAAACTTCATAAAAGCAAATGAAATGTTACAAAAAAAAACATTCATAAAATCGTATTAAACTTAAAAGTGTTTATTATACACTGAACTAAACACGTATAGGTAAAATTTAAATTTTTCAAAAAAAAAATTTAAGATTTTCGAAATCTAACCTTAAGAATACATACAATACTACAACATATGTTATCAAACCCTAAACCAAAGAATATCATGACACACTACTTTCACTAATCTATGTTGAAAACAATTCTATTTTAGTATATCTTAATTTATATCACTTACAACTGTTTATAATTACATGATTTCAAATCTTTCTTTATCAAAATATTTTTTTCCAAAATTTATAAATTGTATTTAAGATCAACTATACGAGACGACTTCCCTAGACGTCGTCTAGACGGCTTACTGTATCACAGAAGACTCAAAAGACATTACGGGGTTATAAACATAAAAACAAATTCTGGTTTTTTTGTTTGATCATAAGGGACTAGTTGTAATTTTACTATTACTTTTATATTTGATTTAAGTTTGGGTGAACATTTTCATTTAAATTCAAGGTTTGAGTAATATTTGGCAAATCCTTCTATAAATAATTATAATTAAATATAATTCAAGCAAAAACATATGTATAAATATATTTTATATTATATTTATGTTTTGTTAGTGTTGTTATTTATAATTAATTTTAATGTTTGATTTTAAATTTTTGAAAACATAAATAATATTTTTTTTGTCATCACATAAATAGTAAATTATTAAGCTAATTTATGAATTAATAAACATTAATTAATTAGTGACAAAAAAACATTAATTAAGAAAAAATTGTAAGAAGCCCGCATGTGAGATCAAAGCAGCTAGTTGGCTAATATTCTTAAGAAGTTGTTACTGTATATCGGATTTTAAACTAACTATTAATATTTTAGAATCCAATGTTATTCACTGATTAATTTAAAATATTATACTAAAATTTAGTTTTATTGGTTCTCATCATGATTTTAAAATTTATTGTTATTCAAAATATCTGAATATAATATTGAAAATATACTGTTATTCATGTTTGATAGATTCATAAATTTTATTTTTTAGAAAAATAATTAGATCTTATCAATGTTATTGTTTTGAGAAGCTCATTCCTCATCCACATATATTAAAATGAAATTAATAATCTCTTATTTATTTATATTTTAGCAAAAATCTTTTGAGGATCCTAGATATGAATGAGCCTTTTTAAATCTAATGATAAAGGAAACTATCTAAAATATTTTTTTATCAAATTACATGTTATTGGAAAGATATTGATAGAATTAAGATCTAATGATTTCTTACCCATTTAAACAAAAAGAAATCTTATAAATGTGATAATTTACAAAATTCATAGCTACAAAGAAAAACCCTGATCTTAAAGGTGCAACTGGAACAGAGAAAAGAGGAAGATGGAATCCTTGACAGATGATCTATGGGCAATGCTATTTGCGAGATTACCGGTTAAGATTTTCACTGGTTTTAAACTTGTTTGCAAGCAGTGGAAATCAATTGTAGAGTCTTCCTTTTTCAAGAATCTTTTTATATCCTTTGTTTACCAAAACTCGCACTCTTCTTAATGGTCGCTCATGTCCAGATTGGACGATCCAGAGATAGTAGGTCACTACCAATGCGACACATGGGGACTTGATCGATCTTTGGGATCTTTCATCGAGTCTTTCCTAGCCGACAAACAACAGAAGCACAAAGACCAACGAGTCAGTGTCGAGGCTTACTCTGATGTTGGGTTGATTTTGATCCATGTAAAATCAACCGACAGGGAGAAGGGAGTCATCTACGTGGCTAACCCCGTTTCACGGGAATGCGTAGAAATATTAATTCTTGATCCTCTTCCTAAAGGATTTGGAACTAATAAATATCTCTCCATGTGGCAATGGGGGACTTGTCACACGAACCGAGAACGGTGTCCTTTTGGGTTACAAAGTTATTCTCATTGATAAATTGCTTCGAGATACGAAGTTAAATTGTCTTATACAGTATAACTAGGTGATTTTCCCGTGCTCATGCACAGACATAAATATTTATAAATAAATATATATTAATTATTGATTAATATTTACTTTAAATTTTAAATTAATTTATAGTTTGTATGTCTAATTTATAGTATAATGTTATATTACTTTAATTATATATATATATATATATATGTGTGTATATATATAATTTTAGATATGTTATATTTAGTCAGTTTTATTGTTTTTACGGTCGATTTAGTTATCATTTGGATATATTGGATTCTATCTATTTCTCTGAATTCAACTATAATCTTTTTTTTATTTTGTATATATTAAAATTTTGATTAATTGTCTTATTTGAATTTATGCTGGTTTTTATCTTAGAAATATAAGTATATTTAGTAAGATTATATATAAGGTTAGATTTTTGTGTGCTTAGAATGAAAAAAATAAAAACTAAAGTGTTTAATTCTAAGTTATATACATAAGTAACTAATAAATATTTAGAAACTTATGAACACATATCTGTATTTATAATAATTAAAATATTTGATAAATTCTACATAAACTTATGCTTTAGATTGATTCGAAGGTAAACTGGAATTTATTTTAAATAATTTTAAAAACAAGGATTCTGATTTGCTTAAGTATTTTGATTATGGTTATATTAAGTTTCACAAACATAAAAATATAAAAATTAAAATTAAAAGATTTATTAAGAAAACAGATAATTTTAACTATTAAAATATAATATATCTACCTCGTTAAATTATATAGTGCTATGGTATTTAAAAATAATTGTAGTTATTTTCTGTTTTAATGTTTTTGAAACTTAATAAAACCATAAACAAAATACTTAAGCAAATCAGAATCCTTATTTTTAAAACAGAAAATTCTAACTATTAAAATATAACATATCTACCTCGTTAAATTATATAATGTTATGATATTTTAAAATAATTTTATTTATTTGATCAAAATATGTTTATTACTAAATTTATTTTTAGTTTTATTTTTAATATCTCTTAAAATAGTCAGTAAAAAAGATGATTGTTTTTGAGAAATTATATTATATAAGTAAAATATTATATTTTTACTGTAACTATAAGATATTATAGTCAAATAAATATACTAAAAATAATTTCAATAGTAATAATTATAAAAAATTTCAATTAAACATATCAGTTTATGTTAGTTAGTTATTTTATGTAATTATCTAATAAAATAGATAGATATATACAAAAATAATCATTTTGAAAATTTATATACTTTTGTTTGAATTTGTTTTAAAAAAGAAAAAATATTTCTTTTTCTAATATCAAAATTATTTGTGTGAACTTTTTTTATGAAATCACATTATATACAAATATTGTCTTTTTATCTAAGAAGATATAGATCTCTATAATATTATTTGAGAAGTCAATTTCCTACGTGTCGCGCTCACGTTAACTCTCGCGATGGTTGATTACATAGATACCCTTAATGAATTTTTATATTTTAAGAATATTCTTTATTTATTTTTATTTTCTAAAAACATTTTAAAAAAATATAAACGAAATATATGTATATAAATGACTTTATTAAAATGGAAAGTTCACAAAATAGTAATATCCCCATTAATATATATTTTTAAATAACATAAAATATATTTTCAAAATAATAAAAATATATATGTTCATGAACATCCAAAAATTTATCAGTTACACTTTATTTTCCAATTTTTTTTTAGAAATATACATATAATTTGATAAATATTATGAAGATACATGTATATTTAAGCGATAAATAAAACTAATTTGATTTGACTTAACTAAAATAAAAAGTAAAATTTTCTACTTGTCGCGCTCACGTTAATTCTCGTGATTGTTGCTTACATAGATACCCTTAATGAAATGTTAGATTTTAAGATTGTTTTTTTTTTATTTAGTTTTTTTTACCTCTTTCCAAATAACATATATAATAAAAAGGAAACATTTCTAAAATTTTAAAACAAATTTAAAACAAAAATATATGCATAAAATATGACTTTATTAAAAAGGAAAGTTCACAAAATAGTAATACCTCCATTAATATAAAATTTTAAATAACATAAAATATATTTTCAAAATAATAAAAATATATATGTTCATGAACATCTAAAAATTTATGAGTTACACTTTATTTTTTAATATTTTTTAGAAATCAACATATAATTTGATTAATATTATGAAAGTACATGTATATTTAAGCGATAAATATAACTAATTTGATTTGACTTAACTAAAATAAAAATTAATTATACTTCAATTGTAATTTAAAAATATATTTAACTCAATATAATCACAAAAAGAATGACTCGACTGATCTAATTTATATCCAAACTTAAACATCTAACTACAATAAGAACATATAATTTTATAATAATAATAATAATCTATTTAATTATATATATATAAATTAGAGGTTGACTCAAAACATATTAAAAAGAAAAAGAAAATATTAACCAATTACAATTTAATTCTTTTTAGAATTTATATATATGCATGAGACTTCAAAATATTATCATTATATTCATTTATGTAATTTTGAATCAAACACTCAGCTTATTATTTATTTCATTTTTAGCACAATATATATTAAGTTATACATAATTTAACTATAATCTATTTACATATCTAAGAATATATTTACATATCTAAAGACAATAACCAACCGAAATAAAAATAAGAAAATTAATAAAAGTTTTATTATATTTAGAATAAAAAAATATGATAGCTGAATTTGAAAAATATATATTATCCAATATACTAAATTGATAACCAAACCGACTATTGATCCAAAAAATAATTAAACCGACAATAATATATCCAAAGTCATATGTATAATTATAATAATATAATATTTACTAATATAAATTATACATATAAATTTATTCAAGCTAAAACTAAATATCAATCAATTATTATAAAAATTTACTTTTATGAATATTCATACCCGTGCATGAGCACGGGAAAATTACCTAGTATAACGTATATTTATTACTTCAAAAGTATATTATATGTTATTTAAAATATATTGAAATTAAATATTACTATTTTGTGAACTTTTTTTTATGAAACCATATTATGTATACTTATATTTTCGTTTTAAATAGTTTTGTAAACTTTATAAATTTTTCCTTTTTATTTTATATTGTTATTTGGAAATTTTTAAAAAGGAAATATTAATATTTAATTGTATTTTTAATTCATTAGGGGTATCATAGTAATCAACCAGCGTGAGAGTTAACGTGAGCGCGACACCTAAGAAAGTGACTTCTCAAATAATATTATAGAGATCTCTATAAATTAATACTCGATAAATTAATAATCTCTATAAATTAATAAATTTCACCGGTCCCAACTTGAACCGGTGTAAATTATGACACAAATCGATAAAATAATAAGATAATAATATTTTTAAAACTGCCATGTAAATATATGGTCCCATTAAAATCATAAATTAATAATCTAGCTATATATGATTTTATATAAGTACAATCTAACATTATATTGTTGGTTTTATATTTACTATAAAAATACTTTTATTTTTTTTAACATTTCAATATATTTTGATAATATTTAGTTAGTAATTTTATATTTACTATAAAAATACTTTTATTTTTTAAACATTTCAATATATTTTGATAATATTTAGTTAAATTATATCAAAACCATGTAACAATTCTATGAAACATAAAAATATACACCAAATAAGATAATAAAACAATATAAAAGTCAAATTTCTAAAATTTAAATAATGTACATATGCTAAAATCAAATATTTTTTATTTTATAAATAAAAATAAAAAAATTTAAATAAGGACTTTCGTAAATTAATATCTCTATAAATTAATAAAATTTCAAAGTCCCAACATTATTAATTTATAGAGGTTTTATTCATCTGAGAGTGGCTTGTGGAGTCTCGAAACTTTTCATCTTCCTAACTCTTTTCTACTATGATTATTCTTCTGAATATCCGATTAGCTTGAACGGTAATCTTCACTGGCTTGGCCGGAACAACGACCGTCATGATGTTGTATTATCCATGGATATGTATGCTACTTGCACGGGTTCTGATCGATGCCGTGTTACACCTTTCCCTGACCTAGAGAAAACTACCATGTTCAATAGATTTTGCACACCCTGTCAAGGTTTTCTCATGTATATGAACATAACCAAAGTGGATGGAAGCCTTGAAGATAAGTTATGTTTATGGAAGCTACAGAGCGGGGGATGGCAATTAATATCTGAAATCTCCCCAGATTTGACCTTGGCTGGTCTCGACTGTTCACCACCGCTGATGATAAACCCTTTAGATGCAAAAACAGCTTACTTTTGGAGCGAGAAACAAGAACGGTTGCTATCTATTAACTTACACAACGGTAAGAAGTTTGTGATCCACAATCAGTTCGAAGCTAGGATTTCCCTCACAAGCCAGATAGAAAGGGTACCCTTCAACGCACGAAGATACTTTATCCCGTTCATTCTCCCACAATGGCTGCATCGGATCCCAAATACGGTGAGTATTATACAGCCACTAACAACAACTGCAATACTACATGGATGAGTAGTGACTGCACTAGAACGTACCTCCTTTGTTTTTTTTTTTGAATATTTGTCTCATGAATGTAATGCGAACAAGATAAGAAGAATACAACGTTAACAAACACATTTCGTCTTCTTCATTCAGAAGAGTTTAGACTTGGTATTTGCAAGACTTCTTTGTTTTCTTATTCGGATAGTTATAGTTTTTGGGTGATTATTGTTAGTCGTTTATGCAAGATGAATAAGATTTGAAAAACTCTTATTAAATATTATTTTTTTGGTGAGAAAATTTGTTTAAAAGATTTTTTATGCGGATGGCATTAGTATTAAATTGTTAACATGTATATAGTTTATATGGCCTCCAAACCATACCAAAATATACATGCATGGATCATCATGTTTTGAAAACATAAGTCTCTCAAGTCTAATAAGTTTTAGAGCCGGTCCTCATTATTTCTCATCTACACTGGTCTCTAATACTAGACATAAGAATCTCTAATGTTTTGAACATTCAAATGAGCGCGCTACTAAATTTGCCTACAAGTAGAAACACTTTCACTGAAAGTCCAATATACATTACATATTCGTACTTGGCGTCATTTCCATGCACATGAGGCGACCAAATCTCGTTTCATCCAACCAAGATACAAGGCTCCATCTCTTTCTTCCAACCTATACTTGTCCGAATAGTTCCCGAGAAGAGTTTTAATAGTAGAATTCACCAGGGTACTCAACCGGTAACTGGAAAGGATGAAACCCGCCATACCAAACCGTGACCTCCATTATCCCTAGGAGCTCGTGCCGCTCCACCCGATCAGCTCCTTCACATGGGATGATGTTCACAGCATCTCTTGCTTGACAATGCTGCTCCACATTAATCCTTTGTTTGTGATCCACACTCACAACAAATTTCAAAAAATGAACTGTACCGACGATTTTCAGTGTTAAAGCTTTCGTCTGGGAACTGATGAAGTACAAAGGGAAAGTTGACAGCTAGAGCTTCCCCTGGTCTTGACTCCAAGGTTTTAGGTTTAAATTAAGGATACTGACACTAACACCAAGTTGAACTTCTTAGCAAGCTTAGCGCCAGAAGGCAACTATACAAAAAAGGGTACGTTATTTTGCACAAATGTATATTATGTCTTGATTTTTGGGGTTATGTATACTTGTATACATATAGTATAAATTGTTTATGATGTGACCACACAAAACGATTTAACGAGCATTTCAACATCTGTCGGATCTTCAAATGGTTAGTAGACGAAAGATTTTCTAATGTGTTGAAGATTCAAATGAGCGACTACTGAAATTGTATATACGTAGAAACACTTCAACTGAGACTACAATGTCGAATGTTCTCCACTTCCTTTCCGGATATTAAACAGATAAGACACCTACTTGCTAGAATGTTGAAGGATATTGGATTGAATAAACTAATTGTTTTACAAATCTTCAATCTTTGACGAGGGAGCAACCGTTACGCACAACGATGCCAATTGTCTTCATCTTCCGAGAAATATACAAGCTTTATTAAAGTCCATGCAATTAAATCAAACAAAAAAACAATTTCCGGATTAACGGAGATGAACCCAGGACCAAAAGAAATCTATAGGCACATAAATAACCCTTTATTTTTATTCCTTTTTTTACTTTTAAAATGTTTGTAAATCATGTAAATACAAAATTATCAAATCTAGTAACTCAAATATCCATAAAACTAGATTAAGACCCGCGTCTTGCGTGGAATGAATGTTGTATATACATACAATTTTATATATTACTATTTATTTGTGCTTTTTACTTATATTAAATTAGTGAGAGGTCATTGATTATTATATATATAACTAAATTGTTGTGGAGATATAATTAAAAATAAAAATTGTTATTTACAATCATTTTATGATAATTGAATCCAAATAATCATTTTTATCTTTTATCTTGTTCATAATTAAATTTAAATGATATGAATATCGATGTATAATTTATTTTTATAATATGACTATTTCTTAAATAAAATTTTCTTATTCACATTATTTTATGATTATTTGTATTTTTTATAACAAAATATCAAATCATTGATAACAGAGTTTTATGGAACTTTAATATTTTTATTAATTTTATAATCATTTTAACAAATTCAAAGAAAATTTTGAAACTAAAATATATATATATATATATATACATATATATATATATGCATTTTATATAATCTATAATTGAATTTAACGATATTAATATTATATATATATAGATATTTATTCTAATATTTATTAAAAAGACATCTAACTCATATAATTTTATGAACAGTTGTATTTTGTTATAAATTAAAATTAAACCATTGATCATGAATTTTTAAAGAGTAGTTTTTAAAAAGTTTATTAATTTAGATTTATTTTTAAAAATTGAAAATATAACATATATAGAAAAATTGAATTTTTATTATTTGGTTAATTTGATTGTCTAATTCATTTTAATAATGTTAATATAAAACAAAAATGATAGAGGATGTATAGAGATAGTGTTTTTCTTTTTTTTTAAAAAAAAATTGATTTTAAAAAAATTAAAGAAACAAATACATCCTAAAATTAATTAATCTGATTTGATTATCTCTTGGTTGAATCTGATCTTTTGAAAAACATGTCCAATGATTTTAGTTACTATTAAAAATTATGTCAATTTTATCTAAAAGGATTGATAACAGATTCTCATTAATAAATTCTCATTCATAAACTATATAGTGGCCAATTTTATTAGGGGGTGCTATTGAATATTGGATTTAAACTTAACTATTTATATTTTAAAATCTATTGTTATTCAATGATTAATTTAAAATACTATACTAAAATTTGGTGTTATTGTTCTTATATTTACAACCTCTTTATTACATGATGTCATTTTTTTTCAACTAAAGATTTGAATATAATAATAAAAATATAGTGTTATTTATGTTTGATAGATTCTTATAATTTACTTTTTAGAAAAATAATTAGAACTTATCAATGTTATTGTTTTGAGAGCCTTTCATTCCACTTGTCATCACATATATAATTTTATTATTAAAATTAAATTAATAATTATGTATTAATCTAAATATATTAGACGAATATTATATTTTTAGGAAAAAAATCTTTTGGGAATCTTAGTAATGAATGAGGCTTTTTAAATCTAATGATAAAGAAAACTATATAAGATAAAGTTTTTTTTATTAAATTACATTTTATTGGAAAGATATTGATAAAATTAATATCTAATGATTTCTCACCCATTTAAACAAAAAAAAATTCTTCTAAATTTGATGATTGATAAAATTAGCTACAGAGAAAAACCGTAATAGTAACAGTGGGACTGGAACAGAGAAAAAAAGGAAGATGGATTACTTGACAGATGATCTATGGACGATGGTACTTGCGAGACTACCGATTAAGATCTCCACTGGTTTAAATTTTGTTTGCAAGCAGTGGAAATCAATCGTAGAGTCTCCGTTTTTCCGTGAAGTTTTCCAGTCCACTGGTTTAAACTCGTCCTCGTCTTCATGGTCGATCATGTGCAAATGTTTGATAGAGCAAGAGATGGTGGGTCACTACCAATGCGACACATGGGGACTTGAACGATCTTTGGGCTCTTTCATCGTGTCTTTCCTAGCCGACATGAAACAGAAGTACAAAAACCGACTAGTCAGTTTTTTTTTCAAAATGCTTGAAGATTGGATATTGATTAGTGTATATGAATATTTTATCAATTTTTTTTTTAAAAAATAGAAGGCACAACCTTGATTCATGTGTGATTTTTTTTTTTAAATGGACTATTCTTTAGAAAGGTTATCAAGATTATCAAATGTTATCTAAGACTGAGATTCTGTTGCAAGAATATATATCTTATATATTAAAACATAACTCAAACTAGGAAATTTTACTATATGTATTTCATTAAGATATGGAGCCAAAACGAGGTCAATATTTTTAATCTTATAAACTTTAAGATACTTTAATATATCTTTATATATATTTTCATTTTAAGTATAAATATATTTATTTAAATTCTAACAAATATGTTTTAAAAGATTTTTATAAGATCTTTATTTTCGATATTATCTTTAAATATTTTCACTAATTTTGAAATTAGTTTGAAATATTATTAATATAGTCAGTTAAGTTTATAAATACAATCTATTTATTTTAAATATATAATATGATGACATAACGTCTTAATGAGCAAACTATATAATACATGTGTAACAATTAACATATCTTAGACTTTTGTATATACAATAATATATTATCTAAAATGAATAAACATAAAAATATTGATAAAAGAAAACCAGTTTTGAAGTTCGGGTTAGAATTTACTATAATTTAAATATAAAATAAATTTTATAATTTAAATATAATTTAAATATAAAATAAAGAAAAAATGGTAAAGCGGGCATCGAACACATAATCTAGGAAACAAAAGGTACTATGCACAAACCACTACACTATAGGGGCCATGTTTAGAATTGGTGCCCTCAAAATAGATTAATATTTGGCGCCTAAAACCCTTGCTTTATGGAGTTTAGGTCAGGATCGACCCTGGCTATAATAATAATATAATAAAGTAAAAAAAGGTAACATTTGCTGAATTTGCTCAGTAAACCAAGCCAATAAACCGAGTTAACCAAACTCACTTTCATCTAATTATATCTTTATTCTTTTAAAGCTTAGTTAACAATTCTGAATTTGCATCTGCATTGAGTTTTTGAAAAGTACAATTTTTACACATTCAGATTTTACAGCAATACTTTAATCCCTTTAAATGATAGTTCATTTTTTGTAAATTATTTTAAATGATACTTGCTTTCATAGTTTTGAAATTTGGGATAAAAATTCATACATACTTATGGGGTTTAAGATTAAAAATAATATCATTTCATAAGAACACTCACATTTTTGGCGACAAATTATTTATGATGCGAAATGTTTAAACAACAAACAACTAAGTTATACGTGGTTGAAAATAACTACTAATAGTATTAATGTATATTGAAACCTAAAATTGTCTCTATCCATACCAACTGGTCTGGTCCACTTATCACATGCATGATCAAGAAGTGACATGGTCTTTCTTACGTTTTCTCGATCCAGTTTACTAAAATCAATAGATGGAATCTCCATTTCTCTCTCTCTCTTTTCTTAAACCCATCTTTTTGTTTTGTTTTTTGTTCAGACACAAATTGATTGAATAAGCTATTACTGTAAGGAGTATTTATAGACATGGAGTAAGAGGAGGTCTCTAGCTCTCTTTTTCGTTGGGAGGCATAGTTGCCTTCTTGGAGAGGCAAAACCATTTGTTTCTTTCAGTTCTAGTTTTAAACTTTGGACGTGTCATTACAAATAAATAAAATGAGCAAAAGAATAAGAACCTGCCATGAAATTGTAAAATGAACAATAGGATTAAAGGAAAGTCCAAGTTCTCAGTCCACAACCTGTGATCGAAAGTTTTTAATTTTCTATTATGATTTCTTCTAATCTAACTTATGAAAATTTTCTTTCTTCTTTACAAGGAAAGTGTTTTTCCTTACCACTCGCTCAGAAGTTATATTCACTTGACCTAGCCCATCATCGTATTATACTGTTTGCTTAGCTTAGCTTAATATATCTCTTTTGTATGGTTGTTGTTAAAGTTAGGTCTATAAGTTGTTTTTGGGTTCCGATCTACTCACTTACTTGAATAGATTCGAAACAATAAAATAATTTTTTTAATTGTTTAATTAATAACTAGTTTTTGATCCGCGTGGCCGCGCAGGTGTTTGTTCTACATAATCATATATTTTAAATTTTTGAAAATTCTATGAATTTAATTGCTTATGCCTTTTTTGTTATAGATACATATATTATCCTTGATTGACATTAGTGTGTCTTGTTCAATGTGATTAGTATTCATTTATAAACTATGAAATTGTGTTTTTCTTTTATTGTGCTTTATTTAGTTTAACTGGTAAAACGGTAGAATGTTAGAGCTTTAAAATTGTTATTAAGATTTTTAAATAAAAATATATTATTTAGACAAAAAAATAATAATGAAATCAAGTCTAAAACAACTCAAAATGAGAAGATTTTTAATTGAAATGGTTATTTTAGATTATTTGATTATGAACTTATAATTAAAATGGATCAAAACTTAACTATTATGTCCAAACTTTATTTTTATCAGAATATATATGAATTAGGTTTTAAATATATTTAATGGA